ATATCCCGCTGTGTAGTAGGCGTTTATTTCCCTCTTCCCTTCCACTTCAAACCCCAATCAAGCAGGCTAATTTAGTGACCAAACTAACTGTATTGCACCTGAAAAAAATATTTACAGTCTCTTTTAAATGCTTCCTATATCTTTGTACAATTTAACCCTGTCCGGCAGTTTTTCGCCAAACAACAGCGGATCAGCTCGGAACTCCACAGTCTTAAGTGGCATATGACCATAAGCTCGGACAAATTCATTCAGACATTCAGATCGTTCTACAAAATGACTTGGATCTGCCCACAAAGATTCGGTCACACACTCCGGACAGCGAAAGCGCTTTCTAGGGGTAACCTGCGGATGTAAGCAACGCAAAATATGCATAAAAAATCAACTTACACTTAACTCTTCTCTAACCTAACTGGGAATAACGTATCACTTGCAATATGAATCACCCAGAAAAAAGGAAGGAATAGTAGGAGATATAGGCTGGCATTAATGGTGCAGTTCAAGACGCGTCTTAGAGTCATTACAAGCAAAAAATAACGGTCTCGTTTGACATTAAGATAGTCGTCACTTGCCTGTTCTTTGCAATGTATATTGGTTTATGTGGTGGCATTAACGACTTGAATTTGTTAACGCGATATACGCTGAAATTTCAGTGCGTGGTTGGCCCCATCATCGTCGGGAAAAATAAGATAGCCGCCATATAAAACAGGTAACTGAAGAGAAGACCCGTGGGCTATTTTTCTTTCCTTCTATAAAGTTCAAAAAATTTCTAAGAGATTTCAGGTCCTTGGACGCTTCAGTAACGCATTTAAGGTAATTCAAATGAACGATAATCCCTTTTTCAAGTAACGCTATCTTGTCGTTGCTATGGTAGTTTCAAGTCACTATTAGCAATTTCCACGAATAGGAGGTTCAGTACATTTCGTCAAAGTCTCCCTGGTCACTTCTGCTATTCATTACCTTAATTGGTGCCTTTCCAGTGTAATTAGCGACCATGAAATTCATAGCAATGTCTTCGCAGTTCATGTGTTTATCAACCCAGTCCCTGATGTATGAAGGCATCATGTACGTGAACAGGTGACTGAAATACTATCAGAAAAACAACGGTAGTAACCTTTAATTATTGTGATTGCATGGAATAAATGGGATAGATCATGATATATGTGAACTGTGAGTGAAGCACAGGAAAGTCATGAATGTTATCCTCGCGATAAAATGAACAGCCTAGTTATTAAAGGTATTAAAAAATCCAGCTGGCTTTCAAGGCCGTAATTATGCGCGATTCAACCAGTTAATGAATTGATTTATATATCCAGACTAACTGATTGTTCTTTGCGGTGTACGGACGCCGCAACGCCGCGAGGCACTATCCAGTTAAGAAGCTAATCAAAGTAATAGTAGAATAGAGGCAGGCTAATTATGGCGAAATTCGTAACGAACGCGCTGGTGAAGATGGATGACTAACAATTTAAGAATCTACACAAAACATACCCTCATCAAACTATTTTGACTGAGTTGTTATTGGACTTAATATATTCACTTACGTTGTTAAAGCAAGACCTTTCAATTCAAACAAAATTGGTATTTATCTGCCCGCTAAAAAATCCGATACGTCTCGTTGTTTCCTCTTGTGATAAGGAAGTGTAACAAGATTTCAGAAACAAGACAACATAAAGAATTAAGAATCCCATAGCACTTTTGATACCTTATGATGAAAAGCGCATCCCGTCAGTACCATGGATACGTTGTTAGTCCACTCTGATTCGTACTTAAACTGGGAACTGCTGTTCTGATTAGTGTGAACACGACCAGGAAATCCCACCAGACGATCTGGGAACTCCCGCCACGCCTTAAGATTAAAAAAAAAAACATGCACGATTACTTCTCTTTTCAGTATTAAGTGTCCGGACACGGCAGAGAAAACTCCGCAATGATATTATCGGATACTGGAAAAAACTTGAGTATGATAGATGGTTGAAATTTGGATGACGTTTATATATTCCTACTAAAAGACTAGAACCTTTTTCATGTTACCCGCTTACACGTTTATGAAAAACACTCTTGGCGACTCACCATGCACACTAAAGTAGCAGCAAAGTAATGCGTGTGTTCCAGGCGGAACTGATCACCTATCACAAGTTAGAGATTGATTCGAATTAATGTGTGGTTTGAAGACAGGTCTACCGTACGGTGTACGCATACCTGGAAACCAAATTCCAGTTCATCTGGTGTTAGCATCAGAATGTCATCATCGATGGCAAGAATCGCTTCAGTTTCTACTTCATTGTAAGGGTAAAACCTGACAGAGATAAAGAATGTTAACAAAGATGACAAAAGATCAAAAATAAAAGCGAGCGCATGTTAAATTATATGTTGTCATCATTTGGAAGGCATGAAAGCCGTTACCTGTTACTCAACTTGTTTTCCTTAGTTCTGACCACTTTCACAGGTTTTGTCAGTTGAGGCCACTTAGCGGCTGCAAAGAGAATAACAGGATGAGTACACAATGTAGTCAAATCTGCGTTTATCCTCGCTGTTTCAACTTTTCAAGGTTTTTTCTAAATTGTACCAAAAGAGGGTAACACAATACTCCTTGATGAACGACAAGAGAACAAATCATTGTAAGATGTTTAATCTATTATTCCCCGTTCATCAGTTTAATCCGCACTGACCAAGTCCGAGAACGGTATAACTGCTGAAAATTATGGAAGTAACTCCGAATAGGTTATTGGTGTACAAGGCGAACAACGATGGGCCCAGTACTGACCCTTGGGGAATCCCGCAAGTAACGTTAAGCACGGTTGAGTGCTGACCATTTAGTACCGAGAAGTGAGTTGGATCGGTTAGGTAGTCTGTCAGCCATGATGGAAGAGAATTTTGAACTCCAAAATAAGAATTCAACTTATGTAGTAGGACAGCATGAGATACACAGTCAAAAGCTTTTCCGAACAACAACGTGAGTCTACGCAACAGGACGAAAGGAAGAAGAGGACGGCAAAACACTTGTGTGTGACAAACGTAACAAGGCTATTACTTGCGTATTTTGTCATGATTGTCACTGTTTTCTGGTCCTTTCCAAAAAGATCTGTTTAAATGAAAGTGAAGTTTGGCGAAAAGTTGTTTCAAACAATTATTGTCACGCTTGTAACACAAGGTTTGCCGTCTTCTTTCCTCTCCCGTCCTGTTGCGTAAGTTCACTAATATCCCGCTCGGACGAAACAACAATAACAAAAAAACTTGCGGGGAAAAGGAGGGCGGAAAGTTAACAACAACAAGAAATAATTATG